GGGGTTCCAGGGTGTTCCAGGGGATTTTGGGTGGTTTTGGGGTGTTCTGGGGGGTTTTTGGGGTGTTCCGGGGGGTTTTGGGGGTATTTCAGGGGGTTTCAGGGGTGTCCCGGGGGGTTCCGGGGGTGTTTCGGGTGGTTCCGGGGGTGTTTCAGGGTGTTCTGGGTGGTTTCGGGCGGTTTTGGGGGTGTTCCGGGCAGTTTTGGGGGTGTTTCAGGGTGTTTTGGGGCGGTTTCAGGGTGTTTCTTGCAGTTTTGGAGGTGTTTCAGGGTGTTCTGGGGGGCATTGGGGGTGTTTCAGGGTGTTCCGAGGGGTTCCAGGTGGTTTTGGGGCAGTTTTGGGGTGTTTTGGGCAGTTTTGGAGCAGTTTCAGGGTGTTCCGGGCGGTTTGGGGGTGTTTTGGGGCAGTTTTGGGGCAGTTTCAGGGTATTCCGGGGGGTTTTGGGGGTGTTACAGGGTGTTCCAGGGGATGTTGGCGGTGTTTCAGGGTGCTCCGGGCAGTTTTGGGGGTGTTTTGAGGGTGTTTCAGGGTGTTCCGGGGGGTTTCGGGCAGTTTTGGGGGTGTTTTGAGGGTGTTTCAGGGTGTTCCGGGGGGTTTCGGGGAGTTTTGGGGGTGTTTTGAGGGTGTTTCAGGGTGTTCCGGGGGGTTTCGGGGTCCCACCTGCGCCGGTGCAGCGCCAGGAGCCGCCTCAGGTGTTTCTTGCGGAGCCGCTCCAGGTCCCGGCGCTGCCGCTTGAGCAGCTTCAGGTACCCCCGGTGCTGCCTGAGCGCCTCCAGCGGCTCCGGGGACACCTCTGCGACCCAAAATCACCCCAAAATCACCCCAAATCACCCCAAAATCACCCAAAATCATCCCAAAATCACCCCAAATCACCCAAAATCACCCCAAATCACCCCCAAATCACCCAAAATCACCCCAAAATCAGCCAAAATCATCCCAAAATAAGCAAAAATCACCCAAAATCACCCCCAAATGACCCCAAAATCACCCCGAATCACCCAAAATCACCCCAAAATCAGTCAAAATCATCCCAAAATCAGCAAAAATCAGCAAAAATGACCCCAAAATCACCCCAAATCACCTCAAAATCATCTCTGCGACCCAAAATCACCCCCAAATCACCCCCAAATGACCCCAAAATCACCCAAAACCTCCCCAAAATCAACGGGGGGAACCCAAAACCACCCCAAAATCCCCCCAAATCCCCCCAAATCACCCCAAAATCACCTCTGGGACCCCAAATCACCCCAAAATCCCCGGGGGGACCCCCAGAACCCCCAACCCAGGGGCCCCCCTGGCCGTGGGGGGTCCCAGGGGGGTTTTGGGGGTCCCAGGGGGGTTTGGGGGGTCCCAGGGGGGTTTGGGGGGTCCCGGGGGGAGTTTGGGGGTCCCAGGGGGGTTTTGGGGGGTCCCGGAGGGTTTGGGGGTTCCAGGGGG